TATGTATATATATATATGTATATATATATATACATATATATATATATATATATATATATATATATATATATATATATATATATTCGTCCTTATATAAAATAGACTCAAGTGTAGAAAAATGTTTATAATTGACAGATGTTGCAGAATACAGTGATACCGGAGACACCCATGTTTAGACCCGAGTTCCTACCTCAAGGTTTATTCTTACACGTTTTGTTATTATTGTTATTGCTATTAGTAATTTTTTTTTATTTTTCATTATTTTTTTCAATATTAATTAACGGCGTTTTTAGTAGGTTGAATGGACAAAAAAAGAATGAAAAGTGAGAGTGATACATTTTTTATTTTTCAAATAAAACATCTTATTACCCTCATTTTGTTTTCAATAGAGATGAAAAATCGGAAGTATTGATTTTTTTTTTGTTGGATATGATAGATAAGTGAAATGATGAAAAATTATAAATACACTATTTTTTTTTGGGTAACGGGGGGAAATCTTTGGTCTGTTCCTGACGAGTAAAGATGTGCTTATATAACTCAAACTCGTGAGTTCGAGTAGAATCGATGACAAACCCTGGGTACATGAATCGGTCCCTCATCGCATATACTAGTTTTATTAGGACTTGTGTTTCGGTGGCGATACATATTTTACCATTGTATATATATGAAATTAATGTCTATATATGTAATAGATAAATAAAATAAATGCGTATAATATATGCATATATAAAAGGATATAAAGTAAATAATATATATTTTAAAACATAAATTTTGATGAGTATGAAGAAACATTAATCCATCTAGTTTTTCATCATTTTAATTTTTTTTTTCTTACTAATCATGGTATTTTTTTTTTCTTTCTTTTTTTTCATCGTCCAAACAAAGCATAAATGAGAAAGTTAGCACGTGTACAATCAAGTTAATTCATTAAATTGGAATAAATTGGGTGCCTTGATAATCTAAAAATCCAAATTTTTTACTCTTCTTACTATCTATTTGTAGTGTATATATAGATAAGCGCAGGGACGGCCCAACCCTTAGGTAAGTTACTTGGGTCCCAAATTTTTGAGGCCCACAATATTTATCCTTTTAATATAGTAGGTCTAATTTTTTATGTTTTATTTTATATTTTAGATATGATTAACATTTTTATGGCTCAAATTTTATTAGATCAAATCAGTATTTAATTTTATTATGTCCAAAATTATTCTCTGCTTAATTAAGCCCAAATTTTAGAGGCCTCATAAAATTTACCACTTCAATATAATAGTGCTTTTTATTTTATTTTATATATTTTAGATATGATTTAAATTTTTAAGGCTCAAATATTAATAGGTCAAATCAATATCTAATTTTTTTGGGTCCAAAATTACTCCTTCTTGTGATCTTTGATTTAAAATTTTCTAAATATTTTGAGTGTGTTCATAGTTATATTTCACTCACTAACATAGAAAATTTATATTCATCATTTCTTGTGGTGAAAATCTATAAAATTGGTTTCTTTTTTGTCTTAATATAAATTTTCAATCCAAATAATTTATACTTAAATGATATATGTTATTAAAGTTATGTACTTCATGTGTGCAGATTACTCATTGGTAAAGAACGATTTTTTGTTATCTTAAAATTATCTCACATATTCTATTATTAAATTACTTGTTAAAAACTTAAATTTATAAAATTTTATTACAATCAACTAAGAGTTAATGACTTAACAATATTAATATTTTAAAACAATTATTGTCAAAACTTGAGTATAAAAACTTGATTACCCTTATTTTATGCAGACTAAAGGAGGGAGGGGAACACACTGTTTTTCAGTTTAGCAATTTTGTCTCTTTATTTCTTTGTTGTTGTTGAACTTGGTGAATTCTTGTGAAGATTTGGTCCAGGGTGTGAAACACTTGTACTTCCTTAATGTGTGTGAGAGAGAGAGAGAGAGAGAGTAGTGCTAAGTAAAATTAATGTTTAAAATTAAAGTTAGTAGTGAATCATTTACACATGAACTGACCCAGTTAAGAGTATGACATGTGAATTTTAGAGCCGGAAAGTGGTGTTGTTCCAGTGGAGGAAGGTGGAAAATCAGAAGAGAGAGTGGAGTTAGCCTTGAAGTGTCTTCCACATCATGATCCTGCCAGCACTTGGACTGTTCAAGTCTCATCCTTCCGCTATTGGAAGATTCGTGATTATGCGTATGCTTACAGGTCCAAGCTTGCAACCCCTTCAATGGTAATTATGTCACTTATAACTGCTAGGTTTTATTATTATTGTTATCAACTCAACTCAACAACACCTTAATCCCAACTATTTAGCATCGGTGGTATGAATTCACTCGTTGTTGCTGGTGGTGGTGTTATTTTTTATCTCATATAGGTTGCAGAGAGATTCATCTCAGCTATGGAGGAATTCGATAACAAGAAGCCACCGGCACCACTATTGATTTCTTTTGATGCCGAGGAAGTAAGAATGCAAGCAGTAGCTTCCACACAAAGGTTTGAGGAAGGTATTGCCAATCAAAAACATGTGCTTCCTTGTCCTTACTATTTTTATGTGAATAATGTTTTTTGTATTTAATGTTGACTTAATTTAAAATTTTTGATAAAATAATATGATAATGACATGATACAATATTACTGCAACTACTGCATTTCTTTATTGAGAGCATATGATGTAAAAAGGGTAACGTCATACTAGTTGGAGCAGACCAGACCCCCAAAAAAACTAACTATTTACAGCAGAAAGACCATCACGTATTCAAAGCACAATGGAAGGTGACAAGATAAAACAGGTCCCGTGCCATTTGATTCAAATCGAGACCAAGATTTAAAAAGATACTTTAGATTATTAGTTGCCTATTTCATATGTAAAAAAATACATTTTAATATGTAAAAATAATAAATTTAATCGGCTCGAATAAAAATATTGTTTGAAGTTTATACAGGCACAATTTTAGTATTTTAGATAATTTTTTTTTATTAAAAATAGTGGTTTAATGACAAGAGGTGTTAGTGATGTTAAATATAAATTAGAAATGGTGTCTGTGATGTTTTAGATAATTAAATATATGATAAACTAAGAGTGTGACCGAAATTTTTCCTTCTATTTTTTATTAATGAAATAATGACACATATATATTTTTCATTAAATATTATTGACTATGAGCCTTTTTTTTTCTAGAATAAAAAAAATCATTAGATTTATGTAAAAAAATTTCGTTCTCTATTTTAACTTTCATAAAAGATACTCTCAATTTCAAAAAAAATAAAAAAAATGCTCTCTAAAATTAAAGAGTACTATTAGAGATGCTTTAGTTGCCTAATGCGTGTTAATTTTTATGAATGAAATTTGATGATGCACAAAATTGATTTGCACACTACCTGTCAATTAAGTAATATAAAATACAGTAAAGTAAAGTGAGAGAGAAGATAAGGTTTATAGTGACTCGATTAATATGACTTACATTCACTTTGAATGGCAAGAATCGCCGAAATTTTATTATCTCCGGTGTGGAGGGAGAATACATGATTACAAGATTTGAGAGGGGATGAGAGAATTATGCTCAAATGAGTCTGATGTCCTCCAAATATTAGAGTGACTTACAATTTATAGTGACTTAGTGTAATAATTGAATAGCTAGTTTGACGGTCATAACAGGTTGAGATCGTTTAATAGTCATAACGGATTAGAGTGACATTAACAGTGATTAAATAGCTTGACGACCTCTCCTCTCCTCAACGAGCAAAGAAGTTATGATGCTCTCCAAAAGACTTGGTCAAAGGATGAGGGAAGGTTGATTCTCTTTAAGCGACGAGAGTGAGGCTCTTAAATACTCCCTTGGTAGTGTAGAGGAGACTCTTGGATGACCCTTACTCTAAGGTGATAGAGGAGGTTCTTAGATGATCCTTACTCCAAGGTGGTAGAAGAGACTCTTTGATGATCTTGCATACTCCTTGCTGATATTGTTCCTTGATTTTTGATAAGCTTGTCCTGGTTAACCGCATTGAACTAGACTTACTGGATCTTTTAGAGATGAGCCATAAAGTCAGACCGAGTTTATAATTTGAGCTAGCCCTTGGGCTCTGGCCCATCAAAATCTAACATGTATTTGTATTAGTTTTAACAACTTCCATACAAGACTTCCCTAATTCCATTAAACAGGTATATTTTTTTTCTATTAACTTTCTTATAATTATTACTTTAATTTCTTTAAGGGTTTATACATCTTATAAGCCCCCCCCCCCCCCCCCCCCCCCC